AGCTGCCCTCTTCATTTCCAGAGCCCAGAGTGCCCGTGGAGAGCCCTAGCAGCAGTCACTCAGCCTAAGTGTCCTCAAACCCTGATTTGCAGAGAAGATGCATCAAATTCTCACAGAAACCTTTGGAGAATACTTTAAGTAGAGCACTTTATTACTTTAATTGCTGCAGAGAACAATAGATATGAAAACTATCAGAAAGCTAATGATTCCTAAATCTGCTATCTTTTAAATCAGAAGTTGAAGAAGAATCAGGTTTTAAATAATCAAATTGCAGAAAGACCTTAGGGAAGCAGGGTGTGATTCTCCTGCACTGTCATCTGAATAAATAGTAAGCAAAGAATACTCCTGAAAATATGACATAGGAACTTATATTGATGTAAATAATTGAAGCATCAGTTTTAGATTTTGTCAAGAAATGCTAGCTTTAATATTGATAAATGCAAATAATAGCCACAACATTCATAAATCTGATCAATTATTATCCAGTAGAATGATTTTTGAAGGAATAGAATAATTTCAAGGAAATGCAATATCTTGTGAATTTTTTGAAGGGGAAATTACAGAAGCATTACATTCTGAATTAATTGTATTTGTGTTGGTGAGTGATACATAAGCAACATTTATTTCAGAAACTGTAAAAAAATCCAATCTGAATGGTAACAGGTATTTTAGAATTTCTCCTCAGGCAGACATTCTGAATGAGACTCATGTCTCCTAGGACTCAGAAAGGCTGTATGATTTATATGTACTTAATTAGAAAAAAAAAATCTGTGGAGATGGATTAAATTAGAAATGCATAAGTAGTATCTCAAGGGAATTTGATAAAGTTTTAGGGAATAAATTTTTGATACCGTTTTTGCTCCTTCACAAGCAAGGAGATAAAATAATTCTCATCTTCAGTTCAGCTCTGGCTTTTCACAGCTCAACTCTGGGAGGTTCTGAGTGTGCATTGACACATGCATTGACAAATGTTCAGTGCTCTGAGTTAATAAAAACCTTAACAACTTGATATTTGTACACCCAGCTACTGAATCTGGGTAGTAAAGGGATCAGTGAGGTGTAGTTTTCTATGGCTGGGTCACACTCAGTCCTCATAAAATTAGGTACCAGAATTATTATTTGCATTTATTTAAAAAGAAGTGATAAAACACAAAATAGTGGCAGAAGTACTGCACCATTAAAGTACTCTGTGAATTGGTGTAAAATTGTTCTGCTAGGCACTTGAGTCTAAACTTTTTGTTAACCCTCTAAAATTTGGAAAACTCCTGAGGTGATGTGCATTCTGAACAAAATGCAAAATACTTCTCTAACTTGCTTCCATTTTGTGTCACATATTCTGAAATAATTTTAAAATACTTCTGCCATTTTTGGGGGGAGTTATTAATGTGTTTCTCCACATGCTATCTCATATCATATCTCCTCATCTCTTTGGAAATACAAAAGAGCCCTTAAGGATATGTCAGGATCTTTCGTAAATGGACTCAAAACCAAGATTCTCCACGACCTCAGGCAGAAGGGGCTGCAGTTTGAACCCAGGTAACATTAAACCTGGGAGCAGCATTCTGGCAACCCCTCAAACATCCTCAGGGCTCTGAGTCCTGCCTAATTTTTCTATGCTAATGCTGCAGTCTGACCTTTACATGAGTAGACAGGTGGGAAAATACATGTATCCTGTCAGCTCCCTGATGACTTCCTAATCTTCTGTGCCAGCTGCTCCACCAGAAATTCCCCCTTTTATGCTGAACTGATTTGCATTTAAACAAGTTTTAATGAGACTACCTGGCAGGTAGGTGAAACATTGTATAAAATTAGAGGGGTTTTTTTGTTATAGGTAATTCTCAGAATTCAGTATTTCTCCAGAATTTTTAGCCAAATATATGTGATTTCCATGTTTCTCTTGTAAACTGGCATCAAATGCTGTGCAGCTGAAGGAGTCCTGTTTAATTAATCCCTGAATCAGGTTTAAGGGTTGTTTTAAAGCTCTGTGCTCTCACTTACCTATTTTGGTCTGAAAAAAAAATGTTTTAAATGCTTGGACCTTGAAGGACTTTTCTTCCATGAATATAACTGTTTCATAACCTATGGCTTCCACAAAGTCCTGTGCCACAATTTCATCAGGAGATGTATGGAAAAGCCTTCTGGGTTTTTCTGGGTGTGGAGTTTAAAAGTGTTACTTGATAATTTTATCATAATTTGGCATTTAATCATTATCTTGGCTTACAAGAAAAAGCACTTTTTAGCACAACATTTAAGATTCTCATCTCCCACCTATTTAGTTGCTCTGTGTATGAAAATCAGTAAAAATATTTGTCACTTTTCCCTATGGCTTTTCTGCCCTGACAGTGATTTTTTTCTCTGCAGTGGAAAAGTTCTCCAGAACTGCGGTTGGTATAAAAATTGGGAATGGTATCTTTTCATAGTAATTCCTACTATTCCCTTTGGCTTTCTATCCACTGGTGAGGTTTAAAAGAACATTTTTAGAGGACTATGTACAATGAGTCTGCGTTATATTTCCAGACATAATTTGGAGCATTAGCATGCGTGTGTATAAAATTAGAGTTGGTTTTCTTTGCGTACATAATTTGCTTGCATCAGCATTTAATCTCATCTTCCATTTTATTGTCCAGTCATTCAGCATCATGCAAGCCTTCTGTTCATTGTCAGAGTTAAATTTGCATGAAGGGTAATTTCATATCACTGGCAAACATTACAAGAAATGTTTACTCTTTTGGGGTTTTTTTTATTTGGCTTTTGTTGGTAGTATAACTGTAAGTTTGACTTAATCCTACATGACAATAGAATAGGATATATACAAATAAGCAATAAATTATGTTATGAGATGGAAAAGGGGATTTTTAAAATTATTTTCTACTGAAATGTCACATTCTTTTATTGTCCATTTGCCCCATTGAGACTTATTGTTTTCAATTTGTGGATGAAAGGACATTGGACATTTTTATCAGGTGTTTGTCCAAGAGGTTGGTTATGGAGAAGTTATTCCAAATATTTGCAGAACTTATGTTTGAGATTAAGTGATTTAAGACATACTTTAAATAAATTGAATGTTAATGAAATAATAATATGACTGAAATTACAAAATTGATCCAGAAGAATTGATCCAAAAGAACTTCTTACTGTGGTTTCCCCCCTTCAGATCTGCAAAGATAAGAGGCATTACAAGGGTGAAGAAACAAGCTGAAAATGTTACCTGTATCTATTTCAGAATATTATCAATATGTATTTGAATGCAGAAATTATTAAATGAAAGTATGTGGACTGCTTTTGGTAATTAGTTTAATAACCTGGTTTCTATATACATACATATAACAGTGCAGCATTATTTGAATGCAGAAATTATTAAATGAAAGTATGTGGACTGCTTTTGGTAATTAGTTTATAATAATCTGGTTTCTAAATATGTACATATAACAGTGCAGCATGATGTAAAATCTTGTGAGCCTCCCTGTTTAGACAGTGCCTTAAATCTTCCTGATCCTATGAGTTTTCCACTGTTTCAAACAATCTCAAATTTGAGAATTTTGAATAACCATTCTAACAGGATGACTGCAACTCTAAGGAGCTGAAGGTCAAATCTGAATTGGATCAAAGTCATAACTGTTTTCTAATTCTATCCTATTATTTCTAATTTCTTATCCTTTTTGAAAAGGAACAAAATTCAATGCAAAAATGAAGTTCCTTTTATTTGATCATAGATTCAGCTGCTTTGCCAGAGATGGTTTGCTACTGGGTTCTCCAAATAGATCCTGGATTTTAGCAGTCAATGAGCCAAAGTCCATGGAAGCCCATGAAAATAAAACCTCTTGATGTTAGTGAGCTCTACTTCAAGGTTATGTGAGGAGCGTGGACATCACTAGTGGAAATGAGAGTTTGGACTTTCTGAGCTATACCAATGTACAGAGGTTAAATTTCACTCTGTTCTTTTTTGCACATTTTGGGAAGCCCATAAACTTGCCAAATAATGTTGAACTAGCAGCATTTCTATTAGCAGTGTATACTTTTTTCATTACTCTGAAAAAACAAGAAGAAATCCAGTACAGCCTAGCGTGAAGAGTTTGCTCAGAGGCTCACTGGATCTGATAGGAAGTGTGTTTCCACCCTTTGGAAAGTGAAAACATCAGACATGAGACCAGAGGCTGAGTGACTGTCACAGGAAGAGCACAGCCTGAGTGACAGGGTGGGATGGCTCTGTGGGTACAAAGCACACACTAGTGGCTTGGCTTTTAGAATTCTGCTATGCTAAAAGTGAAAAACAGATTAGATAATAAAGGTCTGCAAAATTTCTGTCAGTCTGTGCACTCCAGTGCATGTCAGCATTTTGAAAGGATGATATTTCATTGCACTTGTGCAGAGGCTGGGAGTCATCTGAGTATGAAAAACCTTTCTAAGGTTCTGTAACCTCTCAAACCTTTCCTCAGTCTGGATCTGACATTTATTGTGTGCAGGCCTAGCATCCTGGTCCAGTACATCAAAGCTGTTTCGCATGGATTAAACATGGATCCAAGTGCTCTGCTGGACTCAGAATAAAGCATCTCATGGGGGGTATTTTCAACCTTGCAGCAGCCTTTCTTCATTAAGATTGCAGCCCCAGTGTTCTCCATGACATGGGAATCCCACACATAAGATTTGTGTAACTCTGCACAGAACAGTTAAATTTGCATTGTATCAAGGTATGCTCCAGCCAATGGGCCAGTGTAGTACAGGTGAATAATATGGAATTTATTAGGAACAGGAGTTTATGTCATGTCTGTGAAAATATGAACAGGGAGTAATGTTTCCTAGAAGCACAGAACTATAGACAGATCTGTGACTTCAAATGATTCTGCATGGCAGCTCTCTGAAGTTGTTTTTCTGTTATTTAAAGTACCCAATATATACTGTATATGTTTTATTCTGCTCTAATATTGCAGAGTATAGATGCAGTGTAATCTTACAATTTACCCCAAGTTTTCTATATGATGCATTGTGTGCTGGCATGTACATAATTTTAAAATGAAACAACTTTGTTGCTCTTTATTTTTATTTTATCATTTACCTACAGAAAAAAATTGACCAAAGCAAAATTATACACAATGACATTGCAGGAGAGGGAGGGAAGGGGGAAAAAAAAAGCAAAAAATAATCCAACAAACCAACCAGAGGGCAGAACATTGTTTACCATTTATCAAATAAATGCAAACCATACTTCTTAACTTCAGGTCATTTTGGTCTTTTGTTTAGAATTCAGTCTAAATCTACACTGCAACAAAATAAAAATGCATTCTTCAAGACTGGTTCATTTCCTCTGGTTTAGGTAGCTTGTCAAGTGCTCCCACCTCTGCAAAATAGGGAAAAATTATAATTAACACATATGTAAATATGCATATTTATCTTAGCAATTAAGTAATGAAATCCAGTTTCAGTAATATAAATTTTTGTAATACTTTTCTCAACTATAAAAGACCAATCTTTGAACTTTTCATATTTTAATTTATAAAATACTGGCTTTTTTTCCTTTTGATTGTCAATAATATTTTCCTGACACAATTCCAACAATTTAGAAACAGCAGTGACAGAACAACAATTATATTAATTTTATTATGTCAATTGATATTGCTGGATCCCAGAATCTCATAAGACTTAATATTATCTAATTACAGCTGCCATTCTACATGTGCTCTTTATGAGATGCACTTAAAGCTGGAGGGAATAATTTCCAAGAGAAAGAGATGAAGGCCACTTTTAGTTATTACCAAGGCACTTCTTAGCAGTAAAAATACTGCCTTTTTCTTGCAGATTAAAATGTGTATCTAATCTGAATAGCTATTGCCTGAATCTGAACCCCATCAGTGGGGTTCCGCCTCTTCCCCCAAGGAACAAATCTAAACCAAGTCTTTAAAGTAGTAAGGTTTCATTTAAGCAAATGTGTTGAAGGATTTCTATCATTAAAAAATATGGTTTTCACCTGCTTAATTTTCAGTTCTGGGTTTATGTAAGAGTTTGTACTAAGCCTTTCCAATAAATACTGTTAAGAGATAATATGCGACAACATTCTGTGTCTCATGCAACCTGAGACTACAAGAACTGTGTCTGCAAAAAGCCAGATCTGCAGGTTCATTTTTTGTTTTTCGTGAGGACATGGTAATACCACCACCTTTCCTGAATAAAAACAACTCTTTGTCATTACTGTCCCAAGAAGGGAGCCTTTTTAGCTCATTTATTGCAGGGAAGAAGTCTGTATTTCTGTGAGATGCTTTTTATTTTCTTGTCTGATTTAGCAGCTTTTAGCCTAAATAGAAGGTGTGTGATTGAGGTTATTTTACACCCTTTCTCCTGTGTCCAAATGTTTATTTTACCTCCTAGGCTCACACAGCAGAGTAAAGGAGAGTTTTGGACTCTTTCTTCACAGTGATACAGCAAACAAACTACTACTTTGTCCACAGTAAATATATATGCTAATAATCTACTTTAAATATGTACTTGAATTATTTTAGGCCCTTAGGACTAGCTATAAAGAGGTTTTGTTTTCAAATGCAAATTCAATTCAATAAACACTGGGTTCACATTTTCAGTAATGAGAATTATTTTCCTTGGGTGGTTACAAATAATTCAGAAAGCAATGAGTCAAAAGTATCCCAGGGATGCAGAAAGTAAACCAATCTGTGGAAAGTCTCTTTTAATAATGAAATTAAAACACAAATGTACACACAGTTCACAGCATACACTTTCCACTGAGTTGCTTATAATTTGTTGTATACAAAAGTAAGAACATGGAAGTTACTGATTTATTGAATTGTCTAGTTTTTGAGACCAAAAAAAATCCTTAAACATTTGCAGTAGAATAACTTTTTTCTACCTGTTGGTTTCTTTGCAACTCTGTGTTATGGTTTTATACATTTTGTTGACAGTTTTAGAAGACCTAAACTGTACAGAGTTTTTAATTCAGAGCACTCTGAGCTGTTTGCCAACATTCAGCTTAGTGCTGCTGCAATTTTGTCTTGCAACTTTATTGTAGAATAGGTGCAAAAAGAGAGATGTGTTATTTTGGCACTAACAAGTGATGGAATGGTATCAGAACTCTGCTACATCAGATCTCCACTGAGCTGCAATTTTCCAGGGTCACCTGCACTCTGTGTGTGAGTGATGCCAGAGGTGTTGTTGCAAGTCTTGCACACTCAAATCTGCAGCAGGTGTGTACATTAAGGGATAGTCTTGTCTCCTCAGTAAATTTCCTACCAGAAATTGTGAAAGATTAAAAGTTATTCACTAACCTTTCAGATGCAAGTAGGTCAAAAATTCAATTACTGTGCGCACAATGTTTTCATCAGCCAGGGGTCTTCCAAGGCTCCCTGGAAAACAAGCTGGCTGTTACTCACAGTAACCCTGGTCCAAAGACACATCATATGAGGCAGTGTGGCTAAGTCTAGGAGTACTCTGGGGAGGAAAAAAACCCACTAAAACTATCTGAAATTCCTTTTTCCTCAAAATCCTTGATGGAAAACCTCATTTCATGGAAGTGCAAAGCCTCTATAAGGGAGGCAACTGCAATTCTCAGACTCAAATTTACCCAGCTTTGTATGCCATTGCTGCATAGCAGCTGCTTTGGCACCTTCATGGTTGTGATCTTTAGGTCTTATGAGATCTGTTGCAGAAGAGAATTATCCTCTTCTGCAGCTCTCTCTTTTATGTCCACCTGAGCCTGCAGGGATAGGTTAAATTTCAAATTTAGAAAACAAATTCATCAGCTTTACAGAACAGTTAAAAGTTCATTCAGGTAGCCCGACTTTGTTCCAAATAAGCCTTTCAAATGATATAGAAGTGATTTGTGGCCCACAGGCTAGGCCTGGGTGTTTTTCTACAAGTCCAAAAAGCTGTGTTTTCACACAGGTATCTAATCCAATACACTTGACCTCAAGCTTGTGAAAATAGCTTTTGGATGCTATTTTAATGGCCTAATGGGTGCTTGTTATTGTACTTTTAAGAAAGATGCTTTCTGCACCTGTAAATGAGAGAAAGAAATATCAGCCAGGAGTTGGAGGAAGACACCTTGCTCTTTTTAGCAGGATGGAGAACTGCTCTCTATCAAGAACAAATGTTAAGCAATTTCCCCAAGATTTTTAACTCTCTGCACACAGATGTGGTTACCAGAACCAACAGCCCATTATTACATCACTGAAAACATTATCAGATGGGTCAGAAGGCAGACTGAGCTCAGTAGCACAAATTAAAACATTTATGAGAGTTGCAAGGGACACAAAGGTACATGAAGAATAAGCAATTAAGAATGCATTTAATAGGCTTGCACCTAAAAAATCTTGTCTTCCAGTCTTTGAATTCACACAAAGATATTATTTGCATTAATAATACTCTTTTATTTGAATTTTTCCTTAGCTTTTATTCCCACCTAACCTGTTATGAATTTTTGTTATTATTATATCAGTCACATTTTTGTCAAGATTTTATTATCCATGTGATATCTATTGGATAAACATTTTTTCTCCATAACTTGGAAATATTGTAATTATGTATCGCTCAGCTATTTACCTTAATTCTGCATAGTGGGTAACTTGCAGATTTCAGTCAACAAACCATTATGATCTTGTAACTTAAAGATTTGACTAATTGTGCTTATAGATGGTTGTAGTTTTGTTGTGGTTTTTTCTCCTGGACCTAGTATTCAGCTTACAAATTTTTCTAGGTTATCTGGAGAGCTTATGAATTTTGCAGTATTCCTTCAAGGAAAGCACAGTCCTTTGCAGGAACTCTTTCACATTAATAAAATAATATATGCATATATTGCCATTCTAAGGAGCTTTTGCAAATAATCAGGAGAAATCCTTAATTTTCAATTAAAATAATATATTGATTATCTTATGCATTTCTTATGCATTAAATATATATATATTTAAATCTCCTTTGGGCAGGAACTCTGTAATAAACTTCAGCTTCAAAGAAACATTTGGTGAGGGGAGAGAATGAAGTTCATAGCAGAGGCAGCTGTGTAATTTTGAAGTCTCATCCTGACAAGTTTGGTTGGATTTATCCGCAATTGTGGAGGCTCAAGCAAGAGAGTTCCATAAATCCATAAGTTCATATTCCTGTAAGGGACCTGGGATATGCACAAATGGCTACATTTTGCACAGTGATCTCTGCTGCTGGATTGCCAGTCCCTTACTTCTGCATCGTTTTTGACTGGCCATATATTGTTTTAACCCTCGTATTTGAGACATCAGTGTTGGTTTCTTTTCCTTATAAACCAACAAACCAAACTAAAGCACAGCACCAAAAAAATACCCCACACAAACCCCAAAGCCCCACTATGTAACTGTGACAGAACTGAACAGACAGTCCTTCAGAGAGTGCTAACAATTAAGAAATGTATTAATGTTTCTCTTCTCTTTACGAAGTATGCATGCATGAGATTGTAATTAAACACGTGTCCTTTATTTATGCACCTACTTGGCATAAATTACATTTGCACTGTTCTGGGTGTTATTTAAAATAGGCTCCAAAACCTTTGTTTTGCCCCCATTAGTGCAATGATAATTGTACTCAGTAAGTACTGTGGTCACTTTTATCAGCCTAAGGATGAGATTCATCCCAGCTCACTTTAGATGCCTGCAGCAGGTTTAGTGTCTCCTCAGGAGATAAAACAGGTTTTTCTAGAAGTTTCTGCACCTTATCCTGAAATAGGTGTTCAAAATAAAGCCTAAAAATTGTCAGCTTCTCTTCATTAAGGGAGTCTAGACATATAGAGGCCCAGCTTTGGATGACAAATCCAAAACATTAAAATCCCTTTTAATTGCCATTTACTAAATTCTGACACATGCCACATCTAAGCATTTTGACTTCAGTTGTGAGCAGGTTCTCAGTCTTTTAATGAAGATAATCCACCTGGCTTAATCAAAGGAAGTACTGAGACTTTGTATTTTCTATAGCCTTCATTACTGAAATATGCCTTTATGGACTCTCTTCTTTGCCAAAAACTAATTAATTCTGGAGTGGCTAGAGTGGCATTTGAAATACTTACTTTAACATATGAAAAGAGAAAAAAACCAAAGTTTTTTCAAAGCAGTATGATCTATTACACATTTAGAGCAACAAAATTATGATACATTTTCCTAATCACTTAGATGTTGTAGTCTATGAGCATACAAAGATCACAGTGAGTGGCCGAATGTCATTTTTCTTCCTTTCATATGTTTATTAGGATTTCTGTTGAAATGCAGAAATAGTTTTGTATCCAACTAGTCAGTTCAATAGTAAATAAATTACTTAACATAAAAAACAAATCAAAGATGCTTGTTTTCAGACTTTCATTACCTGCTTTAATATCCTCGTCGGGCGGTATTTCGCGTTTACCAGTGAAACCATGCTTGTCATTAAAAGATCTGTGGTTATCTACTGCATCTGATAAATAAATTAAAAATCAGATGAGTTAATGGACTCAGATTTTCCAATTTGCTTAGATCTGCTTTGGACAAATATGCTTCCAGACATTTACAGAACCAGTTAATATATTTAAGATGCATTAAACTTCTTTTCTTTTTTTTATGAATCTTTATTGTTAGATAAAAAGAATGAAGAGTGTCAGAGTAATTATGTGTAGCATTTGTCTATGTATTACTGAGACTGAAAATATAGAAACACTGGTGATGAATGTTACCACATTCACAAGAATTAATGGTAAAAGGACAAATATTTGAGACAGCTTGGTTTTGTATTACTTTTCTTACAACCTGCATTTGTTATCTCCACCTGTAAACCAGTAGTCCTGTATTTTGATCTTGTATATTGATTTTTCACATAGTGAACTGTTAACAGTCTTGAGTTTGCAAGTTACTGTTTTAATTATTTTGCTTTAATTTTAAAAACAATGTAGTATAATAAAGTCAAGTACTTGAAAGTTTGTAAAAAGATTTAAAGGAGAAATCTGAAATAGGTGGAAAGGTATACATTTTGTCATTCTGCCTTGACATGTAAGATACTGTAAGATTTTTTTAATGCTTCTGGTGATGGCGTATTTGTCATATGAAAATTACAGTTCAGAAGCACAAAATATGAGCAGATGTGTTTCTGGACATAAGGCCTCCCATCACACTTCTTTAGAAAAGAGCAGCTGTCATCCAAGACAACTCAGTTCTATGACAGGCATGTAACAAACACCTAAACAAGTGTTTTTCCAAATGAATTTGCTCAGTTTTGCAGGTTTAGACAAAACTGCTGTATTCAGAGAAGTGAATAACACAATTTTTGCATTTTGAAATAATGAAAAAAGTGCCTCACTTACGTGGCCCAAGTAGATAACCAGCACTATTCAAAGTCCAACCCCTTTTGTCTTTTGCCTTAAAGGAAAAAAACACAAGTATGTTATTGCACCACCTACACTCAAATGGACATCCTCTTAGCAGAAAGGAAGGCTCAAAATCAAGAAAAATATTTTAAAAATAAAGCTAATCATACTGAAGTAAATATTCATGGTGAGCTCTTGCCCCTCCCTGTGTCTATAGTGTTGCTATTGACATCCATGTGGTTTGACTGTTTCACACCACCCAAGCGATGACTGCAAATCACACTTTGGAGGCAGAAATTTTTACTTTATACTTGAAGTTTATATCACCACTGTTATATTTGATAGCCACCTCAGCAAACAGCAGTGCTCCTTTTTATTGCTTGGATTTACACGACAGCCTCTTCATAAAAGAAGTCCGTATGTACCTCATCTTTTCGGAGGCAGGTGGGACACCCATTCAATTTTGGTCTAGCAACCAGACATTCTTAGTCATAGTATTTTTTTACAAGGGAGCTAGCATTTAAAATCTCCAAATTCTTAACTGGGGCGAAAAAAAAAAAAAAAGGCAAACTGTTTGCAGCCCGAAATGGTTTTGGGTGCTGTATCCTTTGCAATCCCTATGTCTAAGAACAGTGTGCATCCGTGGGAGGTTCGCGCTGGTTCCTCGCTCGCTGAGACACGGATACTTACAGAGAAAACCAGCCCGAGCGTTTCCGAGAGGGTGGCACAAAGGATTAAAGACAGAAGCAGGAATCCGGTGCACCTCTGCATCTGGAAGAAAGCGCGGCGGGGTGAACGCTCCGCCCGCCCCGGGGCGCGGGCGAGCCGGCTCCGCAGGGCTGGCAGCCCCGTTCCCGCTGGGAGCCGGGCCGGGGCTGGGGTACCTTGAGCCGGGGCGGTCTGTCCCTCGCGGCGCTGATCCCACGGCGGGCTCTCACTGCATGGCCGCGGCCGCGCCGCGCTCCCGCCGCGCTTTACGGGCTTTATGAGCCCGGAGCCGAGAGCCGCCCACCGCCTCCCCCCGCCTCCCCCGGGCCGTGCCGCCCGCCGCTTTAGGAAGGGCAGAAATCGCGGCAAGCCGATTAGAGGCACTCGGGAGCACGACGCGGGGAGCCGGGAGCTGCGGCGCGGGCCGCCAGCCCTGCCCTGAGCTGCGCCTCCGCGTGAGGGGAGGCGTGAGGGGAACAGGATGCACATCTCCTCCGGGACACGGGCACGGGACAGCCTGGGGAAGGGCCTGAGGGAAGGAAGGTGCCTGGGAGAAGGAAGGTGCCTGAGAGAAGAAAGGTGCCTGGGGGAAGGAAGGTGCCTGAGGGAAGGTGCCTGAGGGAAGTACTCTGCTCTGCTCCGCTCCGCAGCTCCTGGGCTCACTCGCCCCTGCAATCCCTTTGACTCGAGCCCGCTGTCCAGCATCGGGGAGAGGAGCTGTCAGGGTCTGCGCTTCCTGCCGCTCTGTGCCTGAGACAGCGTTTCTTTGGGGGTTATATATAAAAAACAGGGGTTATGTATAAAAACCAGCTCTCTGCAGCGAGTAGAGCAGCCCTGGCCTGTGCGTTTGCAACCAGCGGAGTTTCACCAGTTCGCTTATCTTAGTTGTGGTTACAGCTGGCATCGGGATGTGCAAAACTGAATTACAAAGCAGAAATTCCAGTATTAGTTCCTTTTTTTCCCCCATCAAAATTGTACTTTACAACAAATTAGTTTATTCACTGCAAGTCCCTCAAGTTAATTTCTCTTTCAATGAGAAAACACCAGAGATGTTGCACAGAATAAGTTCCACTTACAGCTCCTTTTCCAGAAAGTGCTAGAGTCTCTGCAAACTTTTGAACAACACATTTATCATTCACTGGTTTAAAAGCAAGCTTTTTTTTTACTTTAATGTAGCATAATGCTCACAATCTAAGCTAGAAGTAGCATCTGTGTCTTGTATTTCTATTTGCTACCCTTTTTTGTTGGATGCAGTAGGGCTGTAATGGTCTAGCCTTGTCTTTGGGTCTCTGAGCAAAAACTGTTGGGATAAAGTTTATTTTATGCAATTCTTAAATGCTGATGTACATACATGTACATACATCAGCTTTGCAGATTTTATTTTATATTTTTTACCATTTGCTGAAGGTGTTCTCTCACCTATTGCATGATCCTCACAATTCAGATTAGACAGATATGGAAAATAGCAATATAATTTTTGCAAAGTGATGTTGTCCTTTACCTTATCAAAATTGCACTTTTGACTGAAATTCCTTAGCTTTCAGCTGTTAACTTCCACTAAGTAATTTTTGAAACATAAAGCTTCTTTGTGCACAAAATTTTTTCTTTTTGTTTTGTTATTTGAAAAAATAACCCAGAAGTCATATCAAGAGATGTCCAATTTTGCATTCAAGAAATGTTACAAAAATGTGTTAATTCTGTGAGCTTTGACTAATTTTATTTTTGATGTTCCTGTAAAAGGTATTTGAAATGTTTTTTAACCTGCTGGTTTTATTCTGATTTTTCATCCACAGTACCTGCACCTTCCTGTCAAATTAGAGTGAAACGATCTCTTCATCTCCACTAGAGTCAGATGCAAAAGAAAGCCTTCTTGTATACTGAAAGGCTTAATCCATCACTTGCCCATCATACTTTTTTGTCTAAATCTATCTTTATGTTAGTGTCAATTAAATACTTTTATCAGTCATTCCTACAATTGATGTTCTCATTCCCACAATTTTCTTTCTGAAGAATGCTATTAGTCTTTCTTTATTCCATAGAAATTTTAAATCTCACTGCTCAGAGATAAAAAAAAAGAGCATTAGTCTGATTAGTCTGAAGCCTGCCTTTCCCAGCTTAGCTTGACTAATGGCCATCTGAGTGACTGCACAGCTTGTTTTCATTGAGAAGGCCATTCAGCCTACTAATTCCTCCATTGATTTATTTATTGTCTGCTTAATTGTAAAGGCTAAATGCAATCTGCAGTAGCTGTTAGGTTATGCCTAATCCTCACCAAAGGTCCATCATCAGATAAACTCACAATGAAGCTCATCTAAATTCACTCAAGTCAATGGAACAATGAGCATTGATAACAAAACTGTCTCTGATGTCTCTCAAGTGATACATGACAGACAGGATTGGCTGTCTCACACAGCAAGATGAGTGTAATTTTATAGATGTGCTTGTGACTGCACAAAAATATTTCAAAAATAATCAAAAGAAAAACAGGGAAGAATACTGTTTGCAGCTAGAGCAAAAGGCTTTGAATTTTTAAGGAAATTATAATATGGATTAAATAAATGACAATATTGAAACATTGGACTTGGGAAATAAATATATTGCATTTTTGTCACTGGAGATTTAATTTTGAGAACAAACAGTAAATCCTAAGGATTCTACCATGTCTTTAATGATAAAAATGTCTCTTTTATACAGTTGATGAGGTAGGATGGACCATTTAAATTTTAATTAGCAAAAACATAAGCCACACAGAATGGCTATCTTGTATAGTAGGTAAAACACTGAATAAAAGTGGATTTTGCATTATATTTTCAAAGGGTCTGGAGTCTGCAGTTGACTCCCTTCACAGCTGAGATTACTGAGAGATAATGAATGAAGCAGGAAAAAGCATGTCTGCTATTTCTGTGTTGAAGTGGTCTAATAGGGTTGTTTTCACCAACTCACCAATTAATATTAAATATTAGTAACCTCTCCAGTCACAGTGATGTCCATCTCCACAAAAAATGAGTGAGTTTTTTTCCTACTTCCCAGGCAACATCAAGTGTAAACATATTGTTTAAGACCTTTCTCAAGTATGTACACAAAACCTCAAATATTATATGAGCAATTGTAATGGATTCTAGGCTTGGGTGATAAATAACCAGAAAAAAATGTCTCCCATATATGAGTAATTCAGTGAAACAATGACATTAGAGAAAGTTAATGCTTTATTGGAGGCGTGTCATCATCCAGCTAACTAGAAAAGATTGGTTGCAGAAGTTTCAAGATGCCTATTTTGAATCCTATTCAATATTTACCAGGTGATCACTAGAATGCAATGACACCAATAGCTTACATTGCTGTCTTTTCTGCATTGGAACAAATTTCAAATTTTCGAGATCAGTGTTTCCACCCTGAATAGAGAGACCTATTATAACTTAGCAGAAAGAGTCTTCTGAAGGCTCAAAATTAAGGAAAAAATATTTTAAAAATAAAGCAAATCATATTGAAGTAAATGCTCATGGTGAGCTCTTGCCCCCTGCCTGTCTAAGGATGGGTCAGAGGCACTGCCTCTCTCAGGAGCAAACACAGCTTTAAATATCTCAGCTCTGTGAGGGCTGAGCTTGGCACTCAGCTCCTGCTAGTGTTAGAGCTCAGCTTCTCTGGCTCCCTCTGAGTCCAAGCAGAACCTCTGGTTCAAAGGGCTGATTCAGGATTTATAGCTGCAGAGGCTCCTTTACCAAACTCTGAATTCTGATGCTTACCTGAAGGAGGCTGGTTCTTGGCTTAGTTTTCCATTTAATTCCTCTCTCACGGATGACTTCCTCCTCCTTTGATCAGCTTCAGTGGAAGCCCACACCTACCAAACACAAGGGAGTTTCTGCTCCTGCAAGACCTCAGGAGGAATTTCTTCCTACCCAAACCCTATAGGGCTGCATGCTCTTTAACATCCTCCTCACTGGTCTGGATGATGGGATTGAAAATCCCAAAACCTTCACCAAATCTGGTGGTGGCACCAAGCTGGGTGGTGCATAGAACATGTCAAAAGGGATGTCTTACAGGGAGAGCTGGACAGGCTGGAAGAGTGGGATAGAAAGAACAGTATGCAGTTTAACAAATAAAAGTGCAAGGCTGTTCCCCTGGGATGGCATAACCAAAGTTCCCAGGACAGGCTAGAATCCATTTGTCTGAGGAGGAACCTTGGTGAAAGGGACCTGGAAATCCTGGTGAATGAGTCCAGAGTGTGCTGCTGCAGCAAGGAAGGCAGATTGGATCCTGGGCTGCATCCATGGAGCATAACTAGCAGAGACAGAGCTGTGATCATCCCAGTCTAGTCTGCAATTGAAAGGCCACACCTGCAGTTCTGTGCCCAGTCCTGGTGTGCAACCATTCAAAAAAAGACATACACACATTGGAGAGGGCTCAAAGGAGGGCCACAAAGGTGATCAGAGAGCTGGAGAACCTTTTCTCTGGGGAAAGACTTGAGGAGTTTGCTCTTTTCACCCTGGAGAAGAGGAAGCTCAAGGGAATCTCATCATAGTTTTGCAGCTCCCAAAAGGCAGCCACAAAAAGCATGAATGCTCTCTCTTCACAAGGACACACACGGAGAGGACAACAAGCATAGGGCACAAGCTATACTCAGAGAGGTTTCATTTTGATATAAGAGAGGAATTTTTTACAGTGAAAACAATCAATGTCCCAGGCCCTTAGTAGAGTCCCCATCATGGAGGTTTTAAAGTCAAGTGGTCAGGGTGCTAAACAAGGAATGACTTTTCAAGGTCCATTCCAACCTGAGCTAAATGACAATAAGTGCTTTACCAAATTATGTGTACTAAAATGAGAAGCCACAGGAAAGCAGGTCAGTGCTTTCATGGTGCTTGTTTTTTAACAGAACAGTGTACCAGCTGCTTCATTAGCAAGTATGGTGCTACCTTATAATATAAAAAGCCTCACAAGTAGGCATTTCAGACATGAAATGTACCCACAGTAATTCAAAAAGGAGCTACAGAATAATATTTACATCAAATATTTTCCAAAAGTATTTTTATATTAAGTTAATTGAAGTGGGAAAAAATTGGCAGAATGTTATAAGATAGATATTCAGCTACAAAATACTTTTGTATCATGTTTGTTACTGGTTTTTATTTGGTTAAAGCAGAAAATAGAGTTAGCAGGATGATAATACGCAGCCTTCATTATCGTACTGTAAGTGCACCCAGTTAGTCTTTTTCTGCTGTGATAAAAAATAACCCATTCCATCTTAAAGGCTCACTGTGTAATTTGAAAACAAGTGTAATACCTGGGGTGGAAAATGGGGTGGAATACCTTTCTTGTTGTCCTTGACATCCCTTTTCCCAATTGCAAGTGGATCTGAGAGTTCCTCATCACATCTCTGCATACTCTGACAACATTCTTACGTTCCTCACAAACAGCCTGTCCCTTTTTTGGCATTTTATAAACTTTTTTCTTCCTTTTGGGTTTTGCCAGAAGCTCTTTGCTCATCCATGCAGGTCTCCTGCTCTGCTTTGTGTGATTTCTTATTCATAGGGATGCACCAGTGTTGAGGTTGGAGGAAGTGACATTTGAGCATTAACCAGCTCTCTTGGACATCCTTACCTTCTAGATCCCTACCCCATGGGACTCCTCCAGGTAAATCCTTGAGGAGGCCAAAGGTATCTCTCCTGAAGTCAAGGGTCATGATCCTATTCATTACCTGGCTTCCTCCATGCTGGATCCTGTAGTCCGCGGCACTGTGGCCAAGGCTGACCCCAACATTCACATGGTTAACGGCTGGATGTGGTGAACTTGCCAACCTTAGCAATTCTATGATTTTATGATTCTGTGATTCCCCAGCCAGTCCTTCCTTGTTTGTCAGTACACCTCTCCAGCAGCACACCTCTCCTCCATGGCTCCTCCACCAGCTGTGTCAAGACATTACCATCAGTGCTCTGCAGGAGCCTCCGGGCTCCTGTCTGCCCATGAGTTGTTTCTCCAGCAGAGATCAGGGTGACAGAAGTTCACCATGAGCACCAGAGCCTGTGACTGTGAAGCTCCTTCCAGCTGACTGGAGAATTCCTCATTGACTTCACCTTCCTGACAGGGTGGCCTGTAACA